TCACTTTTAACTAAAAAACCTTACATAGTGCTGCTTTAAGATGCTTTTATGTGTTGCCGAATTCATTCTATTACAACCATTGCAAGTAAATAACATTAATAAAGTCAGAAGAGACAGTTCCATCTGCCATACATAGCAAAGCCAATGATACATAGTAAACAATGGATCATGTCAGTTTGGATCACTTGAACCCTGCTACATAACACTGACATAACCGTGCCTTAAACTAAAATGTCATGTGCTGTCATGAGTTGCCATGACAGATGATGTTCGGTTATATAACAGTGTCATGTTATTACTGATAATTGTAATGACAGATGCAATAGTGTTTGATGTCATGAGAGCTTATGTCACATTAGTTTTGGTAAGTGTACTGTAACTTGCCATCATGACATCAAACATTATAACATCTATCTTAGCAATTAACAGTAATGATAACATGACACTGTTATAGTACTGAATGACAACTCATGACAGCATATGACATTTTAGTTTATGGCACGGTTAGTGTTATGTAGCAGGGTTCAAATAAAGTGCAAATTGCAAATTTTATATTTAAGGGCTTTTTTGTGGCGGAATTTGCTTTTAAGTATTCCTTTTTCTATTTCAGGGTGACATGCATGCATGCTGGAGGTCACTGTTTTTACAACTTATTTTTCTTTGTTTCTGCAGATCATATTTCGCTTTGCTCTTGCGCTCTTCAAGTGCAAAGAAGAGGAGTTTTTGAAGTTGCAAGATGCCATGGCTATTTTTAAGTATCTTCGATATTTTACACGTACAATCCTGGATGCAAGGTAAGATGTATATCTTTTTAATCCCAAGTTATTGTACTACCTTATTAGACATTTAAAACAAACTGTATGCTACAACATTGATCTGTTATGTTTAGTAACCCATCTAGTGTCAGATTTTTCTTTTGCTTTACTGTTCATTTTTGTACCCCAAAAGAATAAATAATTCCGATATTTCAATTACGAAGCTTTGTTTGTGTGTTTCCCTTACAGAAAGCTGATGAATATGGCCTTTGTGGACATGAACCCCTTCCCCCTGAGGCAGATCCAGAATCGCCGCACCTTTCACTTGGAGAAGGTTCGCCTGGAACTCACAGAGTTGGAGGCCATTCGCCAGACATTCCTACGAGAGAGAGAGACCACCCAAGACGGACGCACGCTTATTAGTGATGATGACGAAGACAACTAAATGAGCACCAATCAGTGACTGGACCCATACAGCTAATCAGCCAATCAAACAGTGCTTTGTTTATAGTAAATGTTTTGGAGACAGGATTTCAAATCTCTGCTTCTGAGCACAGTGGTTTGCAGGGACCAAAGAGCGTGATGCAGCCATTTTAGTTTACCAGCATTCTTTTTTCTTATCAATGTCCTTTTCTTGAGCGGTCAGTGAAAAATGATACATCGTCTTTTTTTATAGTTTTCTCTACAAGTCAGTATTAACATCCACATCAGTGTATTGGTTTATATTGTGAATGATGTGTGTGCGCTAGGTGGTGCTGATTGACCAAGAATCAAATTTCAGGTACCTTCATGTGATGCTGGGCTTGCAGTTCTGGTACACCAGCATTGTGTACTGTGTAACACTTCACCTATCAACACACATGGTTCATTGCAAACTCTTGTGTATATGATTTAAAACATGTTTACTTTCAGTTGTTTACCTTTATATGTAATATTTCAAATAGCACTGTTGCATTATTTTCTATGAATCATGGTGTACTTGTGAAATATACAATATTTCAGGTTTTGCTCATGCAAATTTCATATTCTTTGTACTTCTGTCCCTGTTTTTATGTTGTGTGAGGCACTTAAATCACTTTAAATTAGGGTCGTACTATTTTAGGGCGAATTTCAGTTTAGGGAAGTATGAGATGCTATATGGTAAAACGAGCAGTAGCCAATTCTGTCCTACATGCACATGAAGTATCTGCAAAGGCTCAGTGAACATTCCTGTCTTCAGTCATGAGATGACACTTAGCTGCTGGAAAACAGTTCTTGGACAATGCGAATCATGCAGTCTGTCAGACCAGGCTGCTTATTTTCTGCTTGAGTGGCATTCCTTTGTTAGCAATCAACTGCATTTGGCCTAGCTTGAGTCCTCGATTGTCAGGATTCTACCATATATCCAGTGCTGTCGGTGCCATATGTGTTATCAGTGTGACAGTATGGCATGGCTGTATTTCAGGATAATTTTGCTTAATAGTCATGGCCTTGAGTTTTACTGTAGTGCTATAAATGTGTCTTCACAGTTCATAGCACTAAAGAAATGATTTTTTTCCTGTGTGCAAGATCAAATGTATGTTAACATGAACTATCCTGTGTTTTGGTACATCACTCACTGAATAATAACAGGTTTTATTTGGTTCTGCCTTATTCAGCAGGGAGCAGTATTGTATGATTTTTTTTTTTTTTTGCTTATAATAATCTAACTGATAATGTGCAGTGTTGATCAGAATTCTATGTAATATGCATGCTACATGCCCTCAGTTTTTACTCTTAGTGCTTCAGTAAACCTAAAAATGGAATTGGATTTTAAAGGTCCATTTGATGAGGGGCATTGAATGTTTAGCAATTTATTTTGCTGTTCATTGCTTTTTCTGGCCTAACATACTTTCTTATAGTAGGAATATAACATTCCCTGTCTACTTTTATCTGTAGAGGTGTTTACAGGTGTTTACATTGGCTTCAATGTAGATTTGTTTTCACTTTAATTACTTTTCATGAGTTTTTCCCTTTTACGTTGGAAGCTTCCATAAATGCCCGTGGCTTCCTGTGTACGAAAATTTTACACATGCCTTCAGTTGATGAATGATAAAAAACTGTGAATTTTCTTGTTGAGAGCTGGTCTCTCGGATATGGAGGATATCTTCATTTTTTTCAAACCTAATCAGTGTACTTGTGATAAGTGTTGTGATACAATCTTTGTAGCTGCATTCCCTTCATTGTAATTTTCACTTTTCAGTGAGGACTTCCCTTTGATTTGAAAATTTAGCATTTCTATGTATGCTTTTACATTTTGCCATATATTAATTGCATGAAGACCATCACTTGTTATTCAACAGGTATCTTTTTGGCTTATCTAGCTCTGCTTTTTTTGTTGTTGTTTTTTTGTAAATGAATAAGCTAGCATGTCAAATTTGCATTGCTCATCGATGCAATGCATTGCACAGGTCTGTATACATCAATGTAAAGACTCTTTATGCTTGTATGCAAGACATTTAGAAATCATGTAATACTTTAAATGTTACCAAAACATTGTACTTTTTCACAAAGTAATCATTAATCATTTGATTTTAGTGCCATGATCTTCCATTAAATTTTGCCTTTGCATCGAGCACATTGCCTCTTCAGTATGTAGTTTCACTTGTGCTGGTCAATGTGTTCATCTCATTACAGAAACGGAGGCCAAGTCGATGAACTCTTATACACATAGCCAGTCATCTAGTGTTTGGCAGGAAATTTGAAATAGCTAACGTAGTGAAAACAATTCAAAGGCTCACCTCAAGTTCCTTCCTGGTTTTCTTGGTTATTGTGTCCGTGCTGACTATATAGAATTAGGTCAGAGTGTTGGAGAATTCGACAGTTATCGAGATCATTCTCAGTGTTTCACAACACATTCTGTGCGTTTTTATCTTTCTTTTTCTCTACCTCATTCTATGAGATTTTGCCAAGTAAGGACACGTCAGTGCCCCATTTTCTCCTGCAGGTGTCAGTCTCATCACTTGCTGCATTCGTCAGAGACAATATCCAGGGGTACAAAAGTCATTTGACGCAGTTTAATCATGCTGGGTATTTCCCGTCGTATCGCGTTAAAAAGCAACTTTACATTCTTGACTTTCAACTGTAAATTAATGTAACGAGATTTTATTTTAATTAATTTTGACTATTTCTATTGGTTTCTTCATCACCAACTTTGACACAGTGGAAACAGCAGCTGACGTTTTCATTATGTAAAAATAAATAAATAAAAGTCACAAAAGCGACGATATATTTCGCAGGGTAAAGGAAACGAAATATTTCCTTAAAATGAGAATCAATTCACAGCTGCAAAGAATTGAGCAGTGGTTCGGCCTAAAATCCAACTTAGCCTCTAAATTGGCTACACTTACATTGACAGCCTGGATTTGGAGTGTAGACAGATACAAAGTCCATCCTCACACGAAAAATCACTGCTTATCACTGTAAATAAAACATATACTCAACACATTTATGTTGAACAATTTAATGTAACAAGGAAAAATGGCACAGAACTTACACTGATTATAACTGGTCTGAAGTGAGTGTAGTTGTACTTTGGATGAACATCTAACAGGAGCCATTTAAATGTATTTATTTATTTTAACTTCGCATTTTTTTGTTGTTTGAGTAAAAAAACAAACAGCTATATAAATATATATATATATATATATATATATATATATATATATATATATATATATATATATATATATATATAAAACATTATGTATTGTCCATTTTATCAGCTTTAAAAACTCCAGGAGCGCTGCTGTGTCTGATCCACTCAGACCAGCACAACATCAGTGTAACTGCAGTGCTGAGAATGATCCACCAGCCAAATAGTACTTGCTCTGTGAGAGGGGTCCAGGGTAAAAGGGGCTAACAAAGTATGCAGAGAAACAGATGGACTACATTGTAGAACTACAAAGTGCATCTATATAGTAAGTGGAGCTGATAAAATGGACAATGAGCGTAGAAATAAGGAGGTGGTCATAATGTTATGCCTGATCGGTGTATATATGTACATATATATATATATATATATATATATATATATATATATTTATTTATTTATTTTAATTACATTTAAAGTTTCATATATGGACATTAATGTAATGGTATTTGAGTGTTCAAGTGTCCGGAACAAACAGGCACCTGACCTGAGGAACTCGGCCTTACTCAGAGCGAGCTTGCCAGCAGGAGGCGCACGAGCTGGCACAACACGAGCGCGTGCCTGAGGGAGTGAGTGAACAGCACTCAGTGAGTAGCGCGAGCGGCGCGAGCTCAGTCCTAATGCCGCTGGCAGCGGCTTACTTCAGCTGTACGACCGACGCACTCCAATTAAACAGTGTGACCACAGACATAGAGCAGGTAAGACACCTCTAACTTCAGAATTCCTAAGAGAAATGAGAAGTTCTTCAAGTTTTCTAACTAAGTTACACGTAGGCTGGACATCGTTTTCGACTCCGAGTTAAAGGATGCCTCAGACAGAAAACAGAGGTAACAACTCTGTAGTTAATGACGCAAATGAACTGTAGTGACTGGATGTATCATTATGTCCGGCCTTCATTAAACTCTGTGTCAGATTAGTTCATCAAATCTGTGGTGACTGCCTGAAAGGTAAACAGGCATACAGGTGACTGTACAGCTGGTTGAGATTGACAAACTGTATACAAGGGTCATTCACTCATAACTTCATATGCTAAAAGGCTGAATAAAGAGGATTCATGGCCCCTCACATTCATAGCCATAGCTCTAAATTAAGTGGCCAGTATAGGCAACATTATGAAGAAGCCTATGCTTTCGTGTGCATGTTGAATTGCTGTACATGAGGAAGTCAGGGACCCTCGTATTTGCCCATGTTGGGGGAAGAAAGTTTATCTGAACTTCCTTCCTTTAAGAACAGACGTTTATAGCCTGTATGACTGTGTTCATTTTTCACTGTGTCTTTTTCATGAGACTGAAATTACTTTGTTGTGGTCAAAGTCAGTTTCACCACCATGTGCTTGAGTGGGTGTCACCCCTTTTAAAGCTCCACATAGACAGCCCTGCTGGATTTTCTTTATCCTGCTTGGAGCCCCAGACTGGTCTAACTCCTGTTTTGCTGTTTTGATGTTGGGATGAATCTGTGCTACTACTTTATGATCAGTAATAATGTTGACCTATAGTGACGGTGTTGTGTATATATTTCTTTAGACCATGAAATGGTATAAAAGGCACCCATGTAGCCTTGTGAAGAGTTTGTATTTGCTTTCAAACTAAGTATTTTTATGCCCCTAAATGCTCATATATTTGACAAAAAAAAATTGGAGAGATAGTTAAGTAACATGATGCCTGAGATTCGCCCTCTGTGATATGCTGGAATGCAAGCAGCATGTAGGAACATGTCCTTTTTTTTTTATAACTTCCCTATTTGGTGTTTCAGAAATGCTCCAGAAAACACACATATAAATGCCTGTCTTTTCACAGCATCTCTGGACTCATCTGTGCTGCCCAAAGGGGATACCCACTGGACCTGTAGACCCGCTTATGTGTTGAACTTTTATCAAGACACCATCATCAATGAGGACACTGGGCATGGCTGTGTTCAAGCAACAGAAAGTGGAGGATTTTTATGAAATTGGAGAGGAGCTAGGAAGGTGAGTGATATGATAAATGGTGGGATTACACCACAAGTTTGTGCTGTCCTTAAGATCATCCATCACAGCGCATGCTTTATGGACGATCCCCCAGAGTGTGTTCAAAGGAGCTGGCTAACAGATGGTTTGATGATGTTTGAGAAGGGAAGGGCTGCAGTGGGATTTGCGATCATAGCTTGAGTAATGTAAAGTTTGACCCCATCTCGATTTGTTTCTACTGCAAAACAACAAACTGATCGGTTGTTTTTGGAGTGGATGTTGTCCTACATGTGTACATGCAAGTGGATAGAGTGAGTTAGTCAATGGATCTCCAAAGAGAGATACAGCAACATTAATAAGAGATGTCAAATCTCTTTTTTATTACACAGTCAGAAGTAAATTTGCCTTTCTTTTTGTCTTCTTTTGGCAGTCGTAATTCTGAATGTCTTTTTTTCCCTCTCTTGTGAAAAGGAAAAAAGCCGCCCGACAGGCAAGCCGAATTCTCATCACTAACCAAAAGAACATTAAGTGTTAAAACGTAACTTGAAGTATCTTTTCAGCAGAGGGAAGTTGTAAATCTATTCAGAAAGGAAGTGGGGTTATACTGTTCAATAGCTTGTTAGCTTTCAGGAAAGGTGTAGCCTTACACCCAGGTGCTCGGCCTATCCCTCTGGCCTTTTGAATAGCTTTGGGTAGAACCTGCACTAAAGTGCTGATCTAGGAGTAGCTCCTCCTATCTAAATATGAATCGTAACTTAGAAAAAATAGCAAAAGAGTCTCAGGTCAGCACATGGGAATGACTTCCATTGTCACAATGAACTTATTTCCATGGAAGAGGTCAGCTAAGGAGACATGGCCTGTGGCTAGCAGGTGGATGTTTGTTATTGTTTTGAATATGTAGTATGAGAAGGCCCACCATCTGCCTGACCGTCTTTGTGCCCCATTCAATGTTCTCTCCCTCATTTACATGCAGTTTCTGTGACACACCCTGGCTTAGAGAGGGGATGTTAACAAAATATACTGTAGCAGCGCTCTAGATTTTAATGTAGAAGCAATGTTGCGCTGATCTTGGGCATGCTTCAGCAGCTCGACTACATCTTTAACTATTAGAGGTGTAACAATACACATTTTCTGGTTCTATGAATTTTTCAATTCTGAGGTCTTTTATATTTTAAAAATGTCTTGATTCTACACAGCTGCAATTATATACAACAGAGACTGGTTTGACTCAAACAAGAACCTTTTTTCCCAAAACAAAAGTTTGCAAAGTGTCATGTTCTTGTACAGAATAGTGATCTTACACAACAGCGCAACTGAGCAATAACAAGTACAACCATAGACAGGATGCACAAAGATACCACTTAAAAATGATGATTTTTCAAGGGTTCTTTAGTTACAAAAATAGTTCTGTATAGAACCATGAACATTTAAAAACCGTTTGCTTGGTTAAAGGTTCTTTGCATTGTGAAAGAGTTCTTCGGGTTGATAGAGAATGTGCTGTATATAGTTCTATACGTAACCTTTTTGAAAAGCGTTCTATATAGCACCAAAAAGGGTTTTTCTATGGTTATGAGGTCAAGTTTGTAACAATAAAAGAGCCCTTTTTGGTGCCACATTTTTCAGGCCACAATAGTAGAAACATGTTTATCATACATAAATTGTGTTTTTAATGAACAAGCATGCTTGACAAGTTAGGTGTAAGGCTGAACAATTTGGGCAAAATATCTCATTGCTATTTTTCTGACTGTTTTAAATTTATTTATTATTTATTAATATTATTATTTTCTATAAATTGATATACGGGCCTGTTTTTTGGCCAAAAAGACCAGCTGATACATTTTTTTCTGGCCTGAGGCTTGAACACTAAAGATACTGTGCCAGGCTGCCTGTTAGCATGGTTGGTATTAAATTATATTTCCACACTTAAAGCTAAGACAACTTTGTTGATGATATAAGCTATAATAAAAATTGCAGCTCTTGCAGTTTCAATATTGCAGACTTTCAAATTGCCATTTCAATATAACAACAATTAATCTTTCAGCCCTAGTCAAAATTTTGTTTTAAAAAGGAAATATTTATTAAAAACTTTAACAAGAATATTGCATTTGTGGTGACCGTGGTCACACTCCCACCAATCTAGTCCTCCCTGACATGTAGTCTAGGGTGTTTCATTAGATACTGCTTAGCTACTCGAGTGATAGCCTCTTGGTGCAGCGCCAACTTATTTGACACCTTTTTTTATTTAAGACCTTATTTTATAGATATTAAACTTCAGCCAGTGGAACAGCATCCATGACACGGCCTAGCCCAGCGGACTAGCCCAGAAAGGGGGGACCACTTTAAAAGGGAAAACGAACGCAAGAAAATCCCCATGGCAAGTGGCCTCTTAGGCCACAGTCTCTGCATTTCTATTGACCACAATGTCTACCTCATAATTAGCCATTAGGAGATAAATAGCAAATCTGTTTTCATATAAGCATCCATGAAAAAGGGCAAGGGATTTTTTTACACACACATTTACATTGTGAGGGCAATAGGTGTAATTATATTCCAGTTTTTGTTGAATTATGCCAGTATTGTTCGCCCAAACTGAACATTTAGATAACACTTGAATGGAGAACAGTGTTCAGAGTTTTAATGTTACACGTGTTATAAAATCCCATTATGTCGTGCGAGGTCAAGTGTCTTTCTGATGGAAATTAATGTTGTGCACAAACACTTGTCGCTTAAGTGAAAGAGGAAACAGCATGTATGTGGTTTGACAGTATCACTAAACCGTCTGTGATCTGTGACAGCTAGCAGCCAGATGCTAAGGAAGATGTGGGGGCAGGGAGAAATGGAAAAGCAAAGAATCAAAGAAAAGGAAAGAAATAAAGCAAACTAGACAGGTGTAATAGTTAGCCATGCCCAGGCACTCCTACATGTCCCACTCTTTCATTGTGTTCCATGTGGGTGAGGGCTGCCTGTTACGTCATGTCATGAATCACTCTCCAGCGTTGCAGGGGGCGACTGAGACCTTACACAACTCTTCCCTGGAGGTGATGTTGGCTGCAGACAGGGCTTTGTACAGAGACTACCTGAGAAACTGCACATTATTTCTGTTGTCTGCTGCACTACAACTCACCCCATTGGTAAACCACCTTTGAGATATCACTTTCATTTTTCTCTGCCCACAAAGCACTCCGCTGACCATCAGAATATTTGTCATCCTGTCAGTTAGTTGCTGTCAGTCTCTTAGCAGACTGTGGTGAACTTTTTATGTCTCACATAGCAAGTAAAGCATTGGTTTCTCTGCGGTTCCAGGAGGCTTCTCGTAAAGCGTACTTGAAACCAATAACACAGCCATCAGCAATTATAAGGCTGAGAATTGTCAGCCTCCCATTAGCTGCACTGACATTTGCGATATTTGCTCTAGATGTTAGAAATCCATCAAATTTGTGTGGATGTTTAATTTGAGTTTTAAGTAGGAGTTCTGTTTTATAGTGTAATATAATTAATGTGCAGAAACACTCTTACCGCCAGTACAAATACTTTTAAACAATTTGTGGCTGCTGAACAGTTTTGCATAGTACTGTCTACTTCGACAAACATAGAACTGCGAGAAAAAAATGCAACTCAACGTCTTTTTTTACAGACTTGTGGTTAAGCAATAGGAGGAAGTGAGATGAAATACGAAAGACAGATCATTGATATGAGTTCCCTTTCAAAGGAGTATACACCTTCAAAACAGTATCAAGGCCTGGACTGTTGAAGTACCTTGAGCTACACTGTCAGGATATCAGTCCTAGTTGTACTTCTCAACCTCCGGTATTTGAAACTGCTGTCTATCTTGCATACTAGTCCCACAGCTACTGGTTGGCTAAAAGGAAGTTTTGTCATATCAGTGTCCCACATGTTCTTGCTCAAGGTTTTTGAAGGATTAAGGGTTCTTACTATAGCATACAAGGGACGTTATGTTTGTATATGTGTGTGGTCTGAAAGAAGCGGTTTTGCGAAAAATCAAATGTACACAGTTTACCACTTAACTTGTATAGTCAATAAGACATGTTTGGTGTCCAAAGTATGCTTCTGGCTTGACATTCTGGATCATGTTTGTTTGTGGAAGATCATGAAGGTGTTTGTTGAAGTGGGGGGCAGGTGCTGTTGATCCCTATGGAGGGAGGAGAACTTCTCCTCATTTTTCACCCAGCTGTATTTATGCCATGCTTGCTATTTACAGCTAACAGAAAAAAAAACAAAAAACAAAAAACAGTTGCATAAACACTGCATGATAGTTTTGGAAAATCACTATGCAGTAGTTGTTGTTCTTTGTGTTGATTTGATGGACCAATATGATTATTTATAGCAAATTTGTGCAGCAGGCTCTGTCCAGTCCTCATAGAACATTCCACAAGTTCTTCCCCCACACATTTGGACTGTCCCTACTGTACTGCTAACAGCAGGCTTTGAAGTGTTAGGCTAAGGCAAGTCTCTGTGTCTATAAATGTTATTTCTTTATAGAAAAACCTCAGGGTTCAAGCTGAAATGAAGTACGGGAACATAATGGTTGGATTACTAAGCAGCTGCAGAAGGCGGTGAGCGGGAGTCAAGTTTGATTTCTGTACTCGATAATGTGAAGTACATGAGCGTAGGAGGGATAATGATGTGTGTGGGTTGTTTGCCCCCCTCCCCCTTCTGGAAAATCTCAGCAGTGATGACAACCAAAGTAAAATAATGTTTTAGTCTGCATCTATCATATCTTATAATATATATAAACTTGATTGATAATGTCTGAAAATTGTAGTTACAGTTACAACTCCACTTTTTCTTAACTGTATAAGACAGACAACTAGTTTTTATCCATGTATGGTTTTATCAGGGGTGTATCATACAGCAAAAATCATAATTTAATTAGATATGATACAGTGGTGTTTTAATCGGATACATTTTTATCAGATTGAAACATCACTGTTTTATATCTGTGGAGCAGCTGAAAATGTTCCTTGTATTAATACGTTAATGTTTCCACTCTTACTTTATTA